TTATCAAGTTTGAAAGCCGAGCTTCGCCAGTAAATTCCATTCCAAGTCAAGCTTTAAATAGTCTAAGACGCAAATAATTTTTGTATTAATCTCGAATGTCGTTAAAAGAGTATGATGATACCGTATTTGATAAATTATATCATGTTTTTTATATAGTGTTTTTTATAAATTTGATTCAAAATGGATTTTTATCGATGTAAAGAGAAACGAATGCGATTTAGTGGTCTTTCTTGAACACTAGACTGATTACTCTAACCCTTTGTAGCTCAAATTGATGTCAGATTCAATGTAGGTAGTCTGTAAGTGTAACCACTCGATGATAGTGCATGTACTGCAAATATTTCAGTAAGGACTGAGTATAGAACGGATTCCTCTGACTGTGAAAAAAAAGAATTGGAAGAATGGGTGTCATCTTTTTGCGATTTCAAGACTGTGTGAACAATAGGCAACTAACTTCAAAATTACACGAGTGAAGTTTTCCACCGAAGAAACAGTTTTATTATCCGAAAATGGGATGCCCTGCTGGCAAATAAGGTCTCACTGCCAAAGAAGGAGGGTTTCGTAACCCCTATAGTAGACCCTCTCCAACAATCTTGCATAACCCTGATATATCAAGTGGCTCCGTTTGCTAAATCAGTCAATTTCCAATAAATCACAAATCCCCGGTAAACGAGGATTACAAATCGACCAATCCGTAAGTGAACGAGTTAACCAGTTGTTTTATTAGCATGAAATCTTCTGTGCCCTAAGAGCTAATAAAAACCGCTCGTCTGCCTAACTTAATCAGTAAAAATCCACCAGAAGATCTCAATACTCAAAACACACTATAAATGGCACAAGGGCGCATCCAGAAACTCCAGAAAAAATACATTTATAAAGTTTTTGTTGGTCTGTCTGTCCGAACTATACAGGTATTTGAACTTTCCCTTGCACACCCCTTGGATCCGCCCCGTTGACAGTAGAAATATGCGATGAGTCCACTTTGAAAGAGACCGACATTGAAATAAGAGCATTCTCTTCCAAGGCCTACAGCCAGAGCCTTACGATAATCAGTATTCTTAACCCCTAGGGGACCAACCACACATATGTGTGTGGAAAACCAATCGATGCGTCTAAACTTGATAAGTTACCGAAATAGCAAGCTACTGCCCTGAAATTGCTCGTACGAACTCACTAGTAAACCATGTCGTTCTTAAAGTTTAAAGAGTTCTCAAACTAGATAAGAAAAAGGCACAAAGCAGTACTCTGCTTTGAAGTGAATGCCAAAATTTCCGTTTGAGGACTACAGGCAACACTAAATTCCATCTCAATTYCGAGCGTCAAAACATGTTTTTCTAGCAAAAAGTCCACTTCACTTGCAGACCCCTTTTATAGCACGTCCTCGTTTTGCCGTTTTTATTCTTTCAAAGTCGCAGACCTCTCAACAGCCCTCTTTTAAACACCCGGTACAACAAWYTCCTGTSRACGACCSAAATGCATCACGGGAAGAGACAAAATTTGGACATAAATCTTCCAGCATTCTTTAATTTTTAAGTGTTAGCTCTTTCGCACCTACAGGCAAAATATCGGGCCAATTGCATTCTTTGGTTGTCAAAAATTGCCAAAATTACCTTGGTAGGTTGGAAAATCTGCCACAGATGGACCAGGAAAGCGATCTTACAATGATTTCTCTGTCTCTAGTTCAAAACTAGACGCTCTTGGAGCGTGAAGTCGGGCTAGCAATTTTGGAAAATTGAGAAATTACTTGGATTTGCGAATACGTGAAGAGCGAAAGAGTTCAAAACGATAAGATAAAATTCGTATCTAAAAAAACATGTAATATTCTGACAGTCATATAATTATATATGAAAGTAATTTATGGCGTAGAATACCTTATCTAGTTTGAACCCTATTAACCTATACTTATCCCGTTTTTTGTACATTGACCAGCTTATACTATTTAGGGGAATCTCCAAATGCAACTCTTTCAAATAAATTCAAAATAAATGCTTTAAATGCTCTTAAAACTCATATGCTATCATTACTAATGCAACTGTAGACGAAATGGCGCAATGCATTTGATTATCAGATATCTTGGTGTAAGGTTTCACGTTTTTAATTAAACTAGACGCCCCTGGGGCGTGAAGTCGGACTAGCTATTTTTGAAAATTGATAGACACGAGTGAAAAGATTATGATGTTATATTTTGTCTAATCATATGATATTATGAATGTAAATGAAACTTGAGAAAGACAGCAGGATATTACATAAAAGATAAAATTAAAATATATATTTCTTATTTTTTCTCCAAAATAGCCGAACTCACGGTCTAATAAGAGCGTCTAGTTCAAAATATCCAAACTCTCTTGAGACTAAAATAAACTTGACCTAAAAGGTCATGTAATTAATACCAGCAATGAACGTTTTAAAGGAGTCCTTGCTTTCACTGATAAAATCAACGTTGGTATGTAGATTATGTGATGCTAAGTGAACGTTGACCTCTCAGGCCCAAAAGTAAATGATACCATAAAATCATAAACTCGCCTTTTTGTTATTGATAAAAAAATGTTTCTTCTTGTTCTAATTTGAAATCTTTGCCCACACAGGACTGCCTAACGCTAGAAAGGCCATTGATTTAGTTTCGTAAGCATACTACTCGAAGCACCAAGCGATCTGCACATGCGCGTACTTATGATTCCTAGACTGATGCATTCCGATGAGATCACAGATACCACATTTGTAAACGAATAGTTTTTTTTTGTCATACAAAAGCGCAAGTAGCATATAATATTTACTAACGATATTCGTACATCAATACGTTTGAGCTTCCGGTTATGTAATAACACAGCCAACCCAATAGTTAATCATTAAATTCTTAACTTCCGGTGGTCCAAACGGGACATAATACATAGATAGATTGAGGATAGATTGGCTAAAAGGTAATCGCCTTCGGCTAGTCCGACTAAAAATGACCTCTCAGGTCAAGAAGCATATTTTACAAAACAAGACTGCGATGAATAACACAGTAAATGGGGAAATATAATAGACAAAACWATYTATTGATACGTAAAATATAGCTATTAGAACAAATAAACTTATCACTTTGAGTCTAGAGCTGATTGTAGTGGTCTCATCCTTCGTCTTGTCAAAGAATTCTTTGGGTTCACGGAACGACTTGTTTCGAAACTGACGCTCATTGACATCTTTTAGTGTGAGTCTACCGCAAACGGCGCGTTTGTAAGATGGTTGAGCTGCCGTTGAGCTTCTCAGTATATACTTTTTTGGCATCTTTAAAATTGCAACTAGACCCTGACAGCAGGGTGTACTCGTGCCCTAAAGTTGTTGAAAAGTGCTCCGTACTTATTCAAAACTAGACCCTGACAGCAGGGTGTACTCGTGCCCTAAAGGTGTTGAAAGGTGCTGTCTTATTCAGTACTTTTTTAAAATGAGCTCATTTAAAACTTTTCTTGTGTTTGAACAACCATGTAATATACTGTCTTTCTCAATTTTCAAAAATAGTTCGACCGAGTAGACGCTCTAAGGAGGGTCTGGTTTAGATGTAAAGAATAGTGCTACCAAAGACATGCAGTTCATCTATACTTATAAGAAGTAACTCCTTGTTGATTACTTTTCATGTAATATTTTAAGCAGCTTTTGAAGGAACTAGATATACAATAATTTTTGACAAATCTTTAAAAGCGTAGAATCAA